AGCAAGTATCGAGTCACTTTTGGGCTGAAGCTATGAATAATGCGTGTTATATTCATAATAATGTTACCTTGCGAGAGGGCAATTCAATCACTCTCTATGAGCTATGGAAAGAAAGGAAGCCTACAATGAAATACTTCCATATTTTTGGAAGCAAATCCTATGTCCTGACTAGCAAAGACCAAAAGGGTAAGATGGATCCCAAAAGAGATGAAGGGATATTTATGGGTTACTCTTCTAGCAGTAGAGCTTATAGAATCTTTAACTCCGTAATTGGGATGACAATGGAATCTATCAGTGTAGTGATTGATGATTCGGTTACAGAACAAAGGATATATGTTAAGGATAATGTTGGAACATCCTCTGTGCAGACTAATTTCTCTAGCATTGTGTCAGATATCTCTCAAGTGACTTCGGATCTCTCTGGTAAGGGTAATTATGATCAATCCAAGGATCTCAGTGTAAGACACTCTATTGAAAGAAACATTATTGGGTTTACAAAGGAAATATCAAGCTCATGTCTTGTCTGCAAGCTTGAACCAAGAATGCGTTTTATTATTCTAGAGAAGAAGATCTTGAATTGCATTATTGGAACAAGGTATTGTGATATGCATTACTTCTACAACACAATGATTGTATTAAAAAATTATGCAAGGTAGAATGAGTGGGTGATATGTATGACGGTTTATCTCTGGAAAAAATTATGACTGCATGGATTAACAAGAAGCAAACATGCGTTTCTTGGTGTACTACTGAAGTTGAATATGGTGAAATTAGAGGAGGTTACTTTCAATTAGTATGGATGAAACGGATGTTATAGAAACTTGATGACAAGGCTGATGTTCTGACATTATATTATAAGGGTTTGAATGTTATCAGATATGTCATCTGAAACAAGAACCCTGACAGGTATAATTAACTAATCAGGAGTCTTGATAAAGGAAAGGTTGTTAGTTTGAAGTATGTAGACACTAAGAATCAGCTGACTGTTATGTTTACTAATGCTTCATATGGAAATGATCTCGAGGACATTATCGGTGAAGTGAGAACTGGCACTGTTGAGGAGTTGTAGCAATTACACAAATGGAGGAATGCAACAAATATTACATCTTTCCTCTATTCTCTGATTCTTGGTAGGCCTGAGCAAGTGACAGTTGTTAATGGATGGAATAAAAGATCTCAGCAAGATAGAAGGACTGGTTTGAATAAGATGTGTTTTAAAACTATAACGAGGGAGTTCAGTATCAACACTCCTAAATCATGTGATATATTCAAGGAGTGTAGAAGAATCTTTGACAGAGGCAAGAGTTGGAAGATCATCTACATATAATTTGATTGTGTGATTTCATCTGTTACTGTTTGTTTCCATCAGTGTTATTTGTGTTTGCTTACATATGTGTGTTTCCATTTGTGCTTGTTTACATTTACTCTATTTTGTCAATTTTTGGCTAAAAAGGGGGAGTAAAGTGTTGATATGTTTGATGTTTCTGATGTTGGATCAGATGTCATGACTTCATGTCATATCCATACTACTTCTTAGGAAGAGTAGTTTTTCATTGTTGTTGCTTGTCTGTATGCAATTTTTTAGGGGGAGCATGATAGTCTGCCATGCTTGCCGCTGCTGATAATGATGTGGAACCATATGCTGTGTCTGGGAGAATGCATTTTCTCTGAAGTAGGTTGTGATGTTCAAGGAGAGTGTGCTTGTGTTTGAAGTGTGGTTCTATTGTATGAACTTGCAAGAGTTCTTGTGTATTTTTTTTTTATTTTGGTTTTCCCCTTCAGGGGGAGTACTGGTTATGTATGACAAGGGGAATTGCACCTGTCTGATTTGTAGCTGCAAAGTTGTAGTTTGCATAAAGCTTACATGTTCTCATGTCGCTTGTGTTGGTCTGTTTGATCTATGATGTCAGACTAGATGTCTTGACATTGAACTGTCAGGTGAGCTCTATTGCCTTGACAATTTTTGGGTTTGTGGTTCTTGTTGTCTGGTGTGTCTGTTTTAATTTCGATGTGCATGTGTATGTCTCTAATGTGTGCTAAGGTTGTTTTAGTCAAAATTTGCCAAAGGGGGAGATTGTAAGTTCTATGCTTTTTGGATTCGCAACATTTTGGTAAAACATGTTGTCAGCAAGATGTTAAGCCAAATGTTTTTTCATGTCAGTCAAACATCATGTTCAATATGATGTTGTGACATGTGTCAAGACATGTTATACCATAAAGTTAGGGCATGAATGTTTTGGTATTTTTAGTGTGTTTTAACTCACATGTTTGTGTTAGTCAATGAGGGATATTGTGAGAACTTTTGTTTTGACATATTGTGTTGGTTTTCGTAAAAAGGATCCTTGGGCCTTTTTAAGAAACATTGTATTTTGTTCCTATTTTTGTGCAGGAAAGTATCTAATGATTGAAAGCTTGATTCCTGAAATTTTGCGTTTTGTTTTAAGATCCCAAGCCCGTGCAGATGTGATGCTTATTTAAAGGAGTCTCTAAATCTAAAGAAAGCGTGGAATTTGGAGGAAATTAAGATTAGCTGTGTCTTGGAGTCTCTTTAGTGTTTAACGTGTTTTTGCTTGTATGTCACTCATGTATTTTTTGATATATTGAGGTAGACTGATTGTTCATTATTAATTGTCCATTCTAAAGCTTTTAAGCAAAAGTGTATTTTTCTTAGTTGAACATTTTAAGCAAAACCAAATATTGTACTTGGAATGGTCGGTACTTCTATTTTGGGTAGTTGTTGAATTGCCACTGATTAGGAAGTGAGAGGGGGATCTCATATCTAGAGGGTTTCTAGGTAGAAGTTGCACAAGGAAGTGATTAGGCGAGAAGTTGTAAACTGGGGAGTTTAACTTTGAACTAGTACTATCATAGTGAATTTCCTTTCTGGCTTGGTAGCCCCCAGATGTAGGTGAGTTGCACCGAACTGTGTTAACAACTACTGGTGTTATTTTACTTTTCTGTCATTTAAGTTTTTTGCATATTTATATGTGTGATCAAGATGTTTTAATCCCACTGCTATGATATCAGTCTCGACATCTGGTATCTGCGTGCCAGAATTTCAAAAAATATAGTTCAAACCCACTCGAGAAATATTACCAACCAACTGAGAATATAGAGTGTCGTTTTTAAATTTGTGCCAAAATTGTGATGCTCCGACAAAATGTTGTTTGTATCTCATTATGCTGGTTTTGAATCATGTGGTTCACAGAGTCCTAGTCTCTACACAAATCCCCCTTATTATTTTCCAACCAATTTTTCAAAGTAGCACGGTCAGACTCAATTTTGTTACTTGTTGTATTTCCAAGGTGTATGACATTATCAGTCCACACACAAATAATTTTCTCCTTCATCTGATCAAGAATTGTGCTTTCAACATATTTCAACAAATCTGGATACTTTTCACACACTTTCCTGAAATGAATAATAGAATCGACATATAGTACTTTTGTGGAACAATTTATTATATGATACCATGCATCCATCATTTTCTCTACAATCACACCCATATTCACCATTTTTCCATCTTCGAACTCTATATGTTCTGTCCCTACCGCGAATTTAACCTAACTTCTCACATTTTTTGTTATGTGATACCTACAAAATAATGCATAAGAAGAAGGAAATACTTTTGCAACCGAATTCATCAATACGGCACCGCAGTCTGTAACAATCTCTTTAGACATCTCACCTTGGACCTTCAACATTGTCTGACACACCTCTAATCCCCAAGTAAAAATTTCCTCTTTTTCACATTCAAGAAATGCAAAACCAACCGAATATATCTTCTTAGTTGAGGTAACACCAACCATCTCTAATAATGAAAGTTTATACTTGTTGGTATTGTAGGTTGAATCAAGTATGAGCACTGTAGGAAACATGTTGAACAACTTTATAGAATCAGGATGAGTCTAAAAAAATATCTCTAACAGTAACTCCATCATCACACGTTCGATACCTAGACACGTAATTGTTGTCATCCAACAATTTCAAGAGTTGTTGCATCTCAGTTCTATCCCCACTAAGCGCCTTGTTAGTGAGGTACCGAATATTATACACTTGCTTGATATTTGATATATTTTTTAGTCGTTTTCGTTTTAATGTCGCAAGTATATTTTTCGGTTGGACAAGATTCAAGATCATGTCTGTAACACAATCCTTCTCTTCTGACTTGAGCTGGCAGACACTAGGATGACCGACTAATTTTAAACACAAATCATGGTTATGCAAACCACATATCACATTAAATCTCCAATTTTTGTTTGCCAACATGTAACCACGAGGCTTAAACAGGTAATTACATTTTCTTGTACCGGTGTTGCCTCTTAAAATTCCGGAGAGGGGTTCTATATTTCCCGCTTCTTTCACACGTCATTGTCACAAAAGCGCATCTTCTATACGAGCCATTATCGGACCTTCCGATAACCACGCCAAATCCAAATTTAGAAGCCTCCATATGAATTCATTGAAGCATTTGATCACGATATTCAAACTCTTTCTTGTTTTTAAATTGATTGTCAACATCTATCGCTTTCACAACAACACCTTGGACATTTGGAAAAACAACTTGTTTTTAAAAAAATATCGAGGTGCATCATATCTAATGAAAACAATTAAAACCACAACTTAACATAAGCGCTACTGATGCTGAATGACTTCAAAAATGAACACAGACAGCTTATGTAATAAAAATGAAGGCATATTAACCAAAAGGTTATATAAACAAAATCGATAAAAGCATCAATTACTATATAGTAAACAGTAATGCCAGTTTGAACAAGCTCTCCACAGAATCCCGGCATGAGCAGCTTATTTAAAATTTCTTCAGTTTTCAAATGAAAGCAAATGTAGCCGAAAAAGAAAAGGATTTCTATTACAATGATCCTAGACCCAAGTTTTGCATAACATTAACAGCAGCAACTCTTTAATGCTATTCATAACAAGGAAATTTTGTTTGACAAGATTAGAACACCCACACCAGTGATATAATTGATAGTCCCTGATTATTCGTAATCTTTGTAGTCCTTGGTTCCGAAGTTCTTGCACCAGATTTGGGAAGGGATTGGGCGAACTGGGTGATGTGGTCGTTGCTGAAGAAAGGAATAAAAAGTTACTGTTAGCCATTATAATATCCCACTAGTTATGGCAAAATGGTACAGGTGAACATAATAAAAATATACCAAAATAGAAAACATAATTTACAAAAAAATTCTGCCACTTATCTATGAACAGAATAACAGCAACTAGGAAAAGTAGAACTAGATTCTTCCAAAAGGAAATTTAACTCATCCATCCATTTCCAAAGTAAATCATGAGTAAGTTTTCTGGTTGTTGCAAAGCCAAATAAATATTCTAATTTATATGCAGAAAATCTGACAATTCAGAGAGCATAAGATCCACATGAATAAAAATATGCCCCATGATAAGTAGCTATTAAGAACTACTGAAAAAACCCCAATAATTTAGAGAATTTAATTAGTCAAAAGATTACTATACAAGTCTAGTGCTTTCTATGCAAAATAAAAGTATTTAACTTAATGTCCAAGAGAAAGAGACACTAAATGGGAAAAAACGTAGGGACAATATAGTATACACACAGACAACTGCCAATTAAAATATAACGCTACCATAGTCACTTGCAATTCATGTATATACAGCTTCATTCCACTCATAATTGTAGATTTGGGGGGAAGACAAAAAGAATCAAAGTTTTAGGACAACATATTCCAATAATTTTGAGGGACTGCAGGAAAACCCCAAGAAACTGCAGCAAAACGACTTCGCTAGTCACATGTTGGTATAAATCTGACCTAATTCGGTAGATTTAACAAACAACGCCTATTGAAATGATGCAAAAAAAAATTAAACAGCAGAAAATAAGGTGATAGTTTTATAGTTAAAATTTAAAGCAAGTGAAACACCAATAGAAAAAGTTTACTCCGAAATTTGTTTCTTTCCTTGGCAAAAACAAAGAAATAATGAAATGTAGGGCAGCTGATTGTTGTTATTTTCAACTGTAAAGATGAAATACAACTGCCCGTCTTTCCTAACTTCATGTTTCAGGGAACTTTTTGGTAGAGTGCACTAATTACAGCACAGTCCCTGCCCAGAACAAGGCTTTATTCTGCTGTTACACGTAAATTGTTTCAACCTACACTGTTTGGAATAAATTTACACTCTGCAGCTACATAGAAGATTGGGGATACAAGATAGACAATACTGACAAACATATACTATGCAATAATGTTCTTTTGAATTTTACCTATCTTTTTTGTGAGAAGAAAAAAAATTCTAACGTTGAATATGCATGTATTCCTTCACTATAGACTTGGCAAACTTTTATTTTGGTCTTTATTCAAATTTAATTTGTTTTTAATCCCTACAGTTACACATAATAGTATGTTTTTAGTCCCTCGCCATGGACTAAAGAGCTTGTTTGTTAGCATTTACAAATTTAAACAACACAACCATTTGCAGAAAACAGTTTACAGTTCAAACTGTGAAATTTTGAAATAAATAAATCCACCATTTATCATAGGTTTGCACTTGTGTGCTTACCTCATCTGTCAAAAATCCTCAATTTCAAATGATGGTATAAAACCTAACCACATAACAACAACTAAAGCCTTTCACACTAGGTGAGAACTTCTACATGGATCAAATAAAAACATAATGCCCTTATGAATCTAGTCTAAAGATAGATCACTTAAATTCTCTTAATGGTTTGGCAAAAAGTGGTTTGAGATCTATCCCTACGTCCAACTATTGAACTATCCACCAAGACTCCAACTATTTCTATAAGTCCTCTCCAGTCCACAATGACAAAATTACGAAAAACAAGACTCTCATCTGTTGTAGAAAGGAAGAAACCTCACATTTTTGTATAATAATTTGATTCTTATTCCTATCTTGTTTTATGTTCCCAGTGCTAACTCATTTGCAAGATTGAGCTTACTTTCTAGTTGTCTCTTTATCGCTCAGTATTTAATTCCATATAACATATGATTGTCCAGTAAAATTTTCCTATAAGAGTGTTGTTTATATCTCAAATTAGAGCTTGGGTACCTTGATTAAGATCACTCTCCTGTCCCTACTTCCAATCATACCTATATAATGAAACCACAATACTTAAACCATGGAACTGTAGGAACGTTATACTCTCCAATTTTCACACATAAGCTATAATTTGTGTACTTCTCGCTAAACTTTACATTTCACAAACTCAGATGTGTACCTCTACTAAAACCCTGGCCTTAAGAAAAATTTTCAAATTCCATGACAAAATCAATGTCCTAGTACAGTAGTATTGCACAGAAAGATTGCACAAAACTAAAGCTATAATGACAAGACAGGAAAGCAGTCCCAATTTAAGCTAAATAAAGCATACACTCCATTCAACCCTTCTTTAACATCCAAGCAGAGTAACTTAAAAGTCCATTTTTCACTCAGAATTCCAGGAATAATATTAAACTAATAAAAAGAATTTAAGCAGACAGGTATAAATTAAAGAATAATAAAAACGAACAGATGTAAAGAAAGATAAGAAAGATAGATAGAAAAATTCCAATCTCGTATTGTCCCCCTCCTAATTCAAATGCCAACCCTTAAGGAACATCAATTTAAAGAACCAAAAGATGTCTACAACACAATGAACTTATATTATGGTACTTATGCATCAGTGCAAATCTCACTCCCCCTTTCATTTACAAATGCATAAAACGAAACCGCCGTCACATAACAATTCAGAACCAAATTTTCTAAACACACAATCAACAATAAGTAACACATAACAACACTCCAGAAACCTAACCAACATTGAAAGGTTAAGATTTTAACATCTCAAAGTAAACATTACTAAGATCTAGAAATGTTCAGAATTCAGATCATCATTAACATTGCAAACCAAAACATTCTTAATTTCTTCAATAATAATAATAAGAACAACAATAAAATCCGATTAAATTAAGATTCCACTATCTCATTTCCAAATAATACTCAAACACTAAAATTTGCCGAATTTTTTTATAATTTGAGAAATAAAAGATTGTAAAGAACAGGAATTGAATTGAGAAAGAGAGAATGAATCGATACCTCGAGTTTAGCGGAAAGTTTGAAGATTGGGATGCAGACAAGGAAGACGCCGAACATGGCGATGGCAGTGTTGCGTTTCCAGTGTTTAGGGCGACAGTTAGGGCCACCGGTCATACTCCAAACCTTGTACCTGAAATCTCCATTGCCGCCATTCCCGTGATCTGCTGCACCACCTCCCATTTCTAAGGCTGTTGTTCCAAAATACCGAAATCGAAACCCTAATTGGATTGATAGATGAATCGCTTTTAATTTTACACACTTGGTTGGGATTGGGAGGAAGTGAAGAAAGAGAACGAGGAAGTCCTATATCTGAGCTGAGGTCCAGTGTGTGACTGACCACTGCATTATCGTGTGGCTAATTTCTAACTACCCTATTGGCTATTGGTTGGTTCGTTGGATTTTTCTTTTGTTACATTCGTTGGGTCTATAAATGTATTGATAAATTAGGGGAAAACAAAACTAAAGCTCGCAAAATGTTTTGGTAGTATTTTTCTCTTTCTTAAAAATTTGAATTTTAGTTTTTTAATTTAAATTTGTTGAATTATACTCAATAGCACTCGATTGAAATAGTAAGAACCTCTTTCAATTTAATCTCAATTTAATCTGAGATTTTGGGTTGAAATTCATGCAACTGTGTTAAATTTCTTAAGTGAGAATCATCGATTATTGTAGTTTTTTCTAACTTAAAGGATTAACTGTACAGTTGCACGTAGAGGATATTTGATTTTTATAAAAAAATAATTAATTGAGTTACTCAATCTATTTTGTAGATGATTAAGAGGTTGTTTATTACACCTTAATCTAAGATATTTCTTCTAAATTCTATGAATTTTTAAAATTACTCATTTTGTCTCATCTTGATAATACAATTTGGTATGCACCCTTAATATATGATACACTAGAATATGCACCAAAATACATTAATCAAATGAATGGGTAAAATGAGTGAGTTTGGATAGTGTTATTCGAACATACAATCTTAGTCTTGATAGTGTTATTCGAACGCACCTTTAATATATTTCAAACATTCTTCCCATCAGGCTATCAGACATTCTTCTCATTGGGTTACAACGTTTGAAGAATATTTGGTAGCTCTAATCGCTTCACATTCATGCTCTTTATTTGGTTGATGTGTTTTCGTGTGCGTTTAGCGTGTGTTTTATTAAAGACACGTCTGGATAACATATTCAGATGGTGTGTCTGGAGAACACTATCCAAACACATTCATTTGATTGATTCGTTTAGGTGTATATTTTGGTCTGTTTTATATTAAAGGTGCGTCCGAGTTATATTATTTGAACAGCCAAATAGGGTAATTTCAGAAGTTCAAATAATTTAGACGAAGCATATAAGGTGTACTGAACAACCCCTTATTAAAATTTGCAAAATGAACTACTCGACACGCGTCGTGTTAGCCCATGGCAGAATCAAGATTTTTTAGATAGGCTGAAAAGCTCGAGTGATAAACAGACAAGGCAAAATAGTCATTTTCGTCCCATATCTTTAGGGCGAGGTTTATTTTGGTGCCTCAGTTTTAAAAATGGTCATTTTGGTCCCTTAAATATATTAAATTTTTCAGGTTTTTAGTTTTTAGTTTTCATGTTGTTAAGTATTTTAACATTTGTGTCCATGTCAGCTCCATGCGGGATCTTCTTTGTTACCAGCTCTATTTTGTTACCTTGAAAAACCAAAAAGAAAAAAAACCCAGAAAAGGCAACAATAACAATATGAAGATATCATTTTCTTCTGCATTAATACATCACTTTTCTTTTGAGATTTTAGATATGAAAATTAAAAAGCTTATGGGTAGCATACCAACATTATGGGTAGCACACCAGCAACAATATTTTGGCATCAGATCATCCTATACAAATAGAAGATTCACAACACTGAAATCAATGTTTAAATTCTCAAATATTTTTGAAATATTCATATGAAGAAAGAAACTACAATTATGCTCATAATAATAGAAGGTCATGACTTTTTACCACTCATTTGCGCTGCGAATTGCTGAGAATCCATCAAATGAAAAATAATCATACAACCACGTCACTATTGTGTCAAAATATTATATTTCAATTTAATTCAATCAAATGTACTTCTTCTTCTTTCGTTTCTCGACCAGGGTTTCTATTTCATTTCCATGGCCACCACAATTCGAACTCCCTTCTTCCCTCCCACCACCAACTCCACACACTCTCCCTCTTCACAAAATCAAACTCCTTCCCGAACTTCTCCATTTCATGTTCCTCTCAATCTCAACCCCAATCCCAACCCGAACCTCTTCGCGATCGTCCTCCTTACATCCCCAACCACGTTCTAGACCCTCATGTGTTTGCATCTTCGAACACCACCCTTCGTCGATGAAAAAAGTTATGTCCCTTTCATTTATGGTCTCTCCAAATGTAATGACAAGGGTATTCAAAGGGATTGAGACACAGATAAACATGCAAAGGGGAAAATGTTAAGGGTTTTGTTTTGGATCTCGCTAGATCCATTTAACCCATTGCAATTTAAAAAATATGGGTATTCAACATGAAAGTTAGAGATTTCATATTTGAGACCAAAATCAGTGCCTCATCGCGTTCCTCAATTGGAACCACCACTCAATTTGGGTATTAATCCCTCATCTTCTACATTAATTGATCACTTTTTTATGTATTGGGTATTCAAATGCATGTTCCTTGAAATAGAAATTGTTGTAAGTTTGTTGTTGTGAAGGAAATGTGTTGGTTTGCTTGTAAAATTAAGGCAAGCCCCATTTGTTGATGCTGATGGTTGAGTTGAAAAAAATGGCTTTTGGAAATGGGGTGAATTTCTAGAAAATAGTATGAATGTTGCAAGAATGGGATGAATTTCTGGGCAATGGTATGCATGTTGCAAGAAATCTGAGTTTTGGATGAATATGTCACCACATAAGAGTCATGTGTAAGCCAAGTGGCCCTTTGTTTTGACTATGACTAACAAAACTAACAAAAAGAACTAATGTAACGTTGTTCGAAGACATAAGGGACCAAAATAGACGTTTTTAAAATTGAGGGATCAAAATGAACCTCGTCCTAAAGATATGGGACGAAAAAGGCTATCTCGCTAACAGACAATATTGAACATAACATTTTGTGCGTTACATATTTTTTCAGGTTGATTTGATTAATACAAAACTTGTAATTTTTAAATTTTAAAAAATGAAAATCTAAATAAAAAACCTAAGTCATGATTCTCATATCAATCCAATTAATATTTTTCTAATGATCATCATTGTGTTGATAATATTAAACTAGTTATTATGCATACATTTGTTTTAACACATATTCAACCATAGACACGCATTCCATAAAATCATAACATTCCATATAATTATATTTTCACACACCATTAAAACAAAGACATTATATTCTCAAACTAGTTACAAACTCACGCATCTACACGAGTATGAGTATTACTCTCTCAGTTTCCAATTATAAATTACTTTGCGAAGCAAATGCAGGTGCAAAATACTAGAGGATGATGAACAAAATTTTTAAGTAAGAGATTGACAACATGTTGAGGTATACATGGATGACATGATAGTTAAATCCAAAGAAGAGCAACTACATGAAGGTCGTCTTACCGCTATGTCGGCCTGAATGGGTCAATATAATATGAGACTGAACCTAGAGAAGTGCATGTTTAGAGTCAATGTCATTTAAAATCCTAGGGTTCTTCCTCACAGAAAGAGGGATTAGAGCAACCTCATCCATATATGAAGCCATCATCATGACAAGAATTTCATCCATAAAAGAAAGAGTTATGAATCTAAACAGGATGATCATCACTCTTAACAGATTCATTTCAAGATCCTCCAAACATGCCCTTTCACGAGAAAGAAAGTACAATTCAAGTAGCTTCAAAGTGCAAGCAAGCATTCACACAGTCGAAACAAGCTCTCTCAAAACCCTCGGTGACCCATGGACGAGGAGATATTATTCATATACTTGGTCTTAGACAAAGAAGTAAGTGTCGTCCTCATCAGAGAGGTATGCACCAACTAGAGCCCAAACTACTTTATCTTCAAGGCGTTAGTAGGTCCTGAAACATGCTACTAAAAGTTTGAGAAGATTTCACATGGTAGCCTCGAGGAAATTACAATGCTACTTTTTAGCATATTTAATAGTGGTCTGTATTGACCAACCATTTAAACAAGTATTATTGAAACCACACTTAGAAGGTGACAAAGTGATCCATTGATATCTCAACGCTTGACATATCCTTTGAACCCAGAAAATCCCTTAAAGTCCAGGTCTTCACTGATTTCATTGCAAAGTCATGCTAAAGTGGATTATCTTCACTGATGGATCATCAAACAATAAAGGGAGAAAGGCTAACCTCATTCTTGAGAATGTTAATGGGTTGGTGGTTGACGTCTCTTTACTTTGTGCCTAGAGAGCATAACATGAGTACATGTGTCATATCCAAACAAGCAAGCATAAGAGTATAAGAGATAAGCCACTCTTTCATCTAGGAAAGACTTGATAAACCCAACCCCCCTCCACCCCACCCACCCACACACACGAGTTGATGAGGTCGTTATGACAACATGAGCCACATAACTCTCATGCATCAAGTCTACCATGACTTAAATCAAACATGACATCTTACCAATAGACCCTAAAAAGGGGATGTCTCGTGACAAAAACCATGTTTATACTTGATTATAGGGGGAAATTATACATGAGAGGTATCTACACCCCCTTAGAGCATGATAAAGTCGTTTACTCCCTTACTGAAGTCCACGAGGGTATATTTATAAAATATCATGAAGAACGAGGGTACATAATATTAACCATTTTATGACATTAAATTCTAAATGTATTAACCAATATTTACACTTTATTGACCTTTATTTTATTATTTAAGATGTTTTTATATTTGAAAACTCATTAACTAAATTATGATATGTATTAACCAATCTTATACATATCATTAACCATAGTTGATTTACTACATAAGACTACTTTTTTAATTTTTGGACACTTAATAACCAAATTATAATATATATATATATATATATATATATATATATATATATATATATATATATATATATATATATATATATATATATATATATATATATATATATATATATATATATATATATATATATATATATATATATATATATATATATATATATATAT